TGTCTTTTACCTTATAGTAGAGAATTATTATTTCTGCTATATACTATTGCAATGTGGAATGTGTGCACGCCAGCGAATTGCGGTTTCTTCTACGAGATGTATCGCATAATTGACACGTTTCTTATTTGTCTTATTGTCAAAGAGCACATTTTTTTTGTCGACATCCATTTGTAATCACGTTGTTAAGCAATAACGCGTGCAATAACGGAAGATAGCGAGATACCAGTATAAATTGCGTAACAGAAAGTTATTTAAGAGCCACTTGTTTAGCCGAGCGCAGACGTGTTTGCTTCTCGTGTCTTTACCGGCGCGGCGGCAAGAAATAAATTTCATTTGAAAAATTGATTTCTTCCTCGTGCGCGGTGTCTTCCTACTCGCCGACGTCTCGTCGACGATTACCCCGGGATTTATCGAAACGGTAATAGCATCGGTAAGAGAAGCAAATCGGATTTTTCTGTTCGATCGCACCGCCAAGGTCGTCTGGACGCCGATGGAGAAAGGAACGGAGGCGCCATTCAAAAGGCACAATTACACGGAGCATCCACGTGCTCTCTCTCGCTCTCTCTCTTTCTCTCTCGGTGGAAGTTATCGAGAGAATGACGACTGTACGGAGAAGATGATAAATTTAAAGAAAAAAAAGGTACGCGGTCTTTTTCCCTGGATGCTACAACATTACGTAATGTGCCATCTCCGATTATAATTACACATTGAACGGCAACTCGAAGGATAAGTAAAACAATAAAGTATCTTACCTTCGCGTTTATACCCACCGGGCATTCGAGAATCAACCGTGAGCTGCAATTTGCAATCGCGACGTACCCAGCCGCAGGGTGCAGCTCTGACAATGACACGATCTTCGATAACGTAATTTTTTTACTCGCGTAGCCGGTAGGAAGCGATTATAAAATCGGAAGATTAAACGTGCAATCGATCGTGAAAGGTAATAATTAAAGTAGATTTTTATCCATCTCGATATTGTTAAAATTGAGGCGGCGGTGTAGCGCGGCGAGTCTTAAAGAATATTATAAAAGTTTAACAAGGTCCCTGTAAGCCTGCGAAGAGGTCACATACCGAAAAAAGAGAAAGAAAAACAGGAATCGATATTGCACGACCTCGGAAACGTTTAAAAGCATTGGAAGGATGCTTGGGCACGTTCGGGGATCGTAAAGCTTGTAATTCTTTGTAAGGCGTTCACTTTCGTTAAAGAAAGTATTTATGCCTCTTGGAAAATTATACCGTCTAGTTCCGTACTGTCTTTTCTCATTCGTCTATTATGGCTCGTTATGCTAAATATATATTTCAGATTTTTTTTTATAGAGAAAACTTGCTTTCTCTGCGAAAGTAAAAGTGTAATAAAACAATAACTCCGAATTTTAACAATAATGTACCTTAATGACAAGTAATTATAGTCGTTAAAGAAGATTGCAAGTTTTGCAAATTACTTTCAGAAATGTTTTCAATGAAATGGTTTAATCAAACCGTTTTATTCCAACGGTGAAAAAAATACAATGTAATTTAATAGTTCTAGAATTTATTAAACATATTGCGCGGATACTTGCGAGTCTTTAATTTAAATAAGCAACAGTGTTGTATGTTTAATTTCACTTTTTTAACGCGCACGATGTATTCAAAATAGAGCAGAAATGACGTCAAACGTTTATATATGTTATACGTTATAATATGTTTGTCACATCGATCTTGATTTTCACAGATGAGAATCGTTTAATATATCATCGGAAGGGATCAGCGCGTTATTTCGGGAACACTTTCGGCAATAGTGCCAGCTTCTACATCCTCGCCATTCTCTTGTTAAAAGCACGGACGTTCCATTGGAAAATATCCAAAACGCCTTTCACAGTGTCGCGTGTTCGCTGATCGTATCGAAATCTGATCGTAAAACTTCGTTTTCGCAGTTGTCGAAGATTTCAGATTTGTTGAACTCTCGTGAAGCCGTGACCGCTCGTGAAGCGATCACACGAAGCGCCAGCGATAGAAATTCAAAAGTATGAAAAGTGTGAAAAGTGTGAAAAGTGCTCGTGCAATCTTATTGATTACGGCGTTTCACTGAAAGGCGGCGTTAATTCTCTCTTCAACATCTAATCTAACAATAAAAATCTAAGAATTTTCTCTAATGTCTGCAGATATAAAGAGAAATAGTGGAATTTAACTTGAGAATGGAGGATTCGTGTTGGCAGCTGAGCAGGCTATGTCGAAATATA